AAAGAAAACCCACTGGTTTGCCAAAACCAGACATAAGTGTCGCCCTAGTTAAACATATTTTATAAACTATGGAAACCAGTGCTTCTGGCACCTTTAACCATTGTTTTGCTTACCCCTGGTCTCAATAAAATTGTGTTAAAAGCACCAGCATCCAGTCTTCAAATACTTTTTCTACAGTTGCTGTTGTTGGTGGAGTTACCATTGGTGGACCTGTAATAACAGCAAGAAATGCTCCTAAAATTGTTAGTCCCTACTAGGCTCATGGGGTGAATGAGGCCTGGGACACTAGAGGTTACATCTTTTCTGCTGCAGCCTTTCAGCTGGAGTTTTTTTTATGCAGCACTGTTGTCCGTTTATTTTATTTTCCAGGGGGAAAAGATAAAAAATTACCACAAACTAAGGGATCTGCATTTTTCCCTCATTACATGTTTTCCTACTGGTTCTTGGTGTGACCTTATCTAGTGCCATATGACATGCCGAAGATCCCAAATGGGGGTACTGGGAAAATGAGAGGGAATGCATCAGAGCTTTTATGGTCATATTGCTGTTTTCTCCCAAATGAAGGGATTCCTGATTTTTCTGCTCCAAAAACACAAGTTATTTGCTTTTAAAGTAATACTTTTAAAAACTTTGTATCAGTAGCAAGTCATTTATTCTCAGTAGGTCATCCACTGTTGGTGGGACCGGTCACATATTCATCTAATTATTTCTATTAATTTCAATAAAGGGAAAAACATCCCAAATACATTTGTCTGTACTTCTCAATATCATTTCTCTCATTTATACATACAAATCCCGGATTCTGCAAAACTTGTCCACATACTCCCACTAAAGTTAATGAGGATAGTCACAAGGCTAAAGTCAAGCGTGTTTGTCCCTGACAGTATAGTATATATTTATCAAAAGTATATTAAAAGTGCTGCTACTGATTAAACCAATGCACAGACAATGATCACTTGAGACGATGCTGTGGTTGCAAGACTCAGCTTTGAGTTCAACCATGTTTTACCCCTCTTTCCAATCACACTTTCTTTAAGAAGCTGATCTGGGTTCTCCTTTTATACTAGGTAAGTTTTCAAAGGACTTTTGGTTTGTATTTGTAATTAGTATCTTGTCTTACTCTTAAATTGAAATGTGCAGGCTGTCATTGTTCCTGTATTTGTATTTATCTTCAAATCTGGGTAAAGAACAATGGTGAGGGAACAAATAAAAGAAAATTTATTAGAAAATTTGGTTTAGCTTGAGGCATGTTTAAACTTTAAATGTCTTTCTCTAGATTGGGTAGAAACAAAAAACAATTTGTACTTCAAGATGCTTGTTCATTCAGAGGTTAGGCCATCTCCTGTCATCTTAGGTTGCCATTCATAAATATTACTTGTGGTAAGGTCTATATTACCTACCTAACTCAGCTGGAACCACTGTATACACTTGCTTCTGGAGATTTTCTTCTCAGATTCTGCTTAAGAAAAGACTTACTGGATTTCCCCATGTGATAACTAATACATAGGCAATTGCTTCCATGTTGCTATGCTGCTAATACTGTATCTTGTAGTATATCTATAAAAACTATTTATATCTGTGTTAGCAGGCTCTTACTGTAGTAGGGGATCCACAGCTACAAAACCGTGGAGGGCCATTTTTAGGTGTTCCAAATGAGAGAAGTGGATCTCATTTCCTTCTACGACCAGGTGACCTATCACCTGGACAAGGGAGAAGAGATTGATGTCATATATCTTGACTTCAAAAAAGCCTTCGATCTGGTGTCCCATGATCGCCTCTTGGAGAAACTGGCCAATTGTCGCCTTGGGTCCTCCACGATCCGCTGGCTGGAAAATTGGCTCCGGGGTCGGACCCAGAGGGTAGTAATCGATGGAAGTCACTCATTGTGGTGTCCTGTGACCAGTGGGGTCCCCCAAGGCTCTGTCCTTGGACCCATACTGTTCAACATCTTCATTAATGATGTGGACACTGGAGTCAGAAGCGGACTGGCCAAGTTTGCCGATGACACCAAACTTTGGGGCAAAGCATCCACACCAGAAGACAGGCGGGTGATCCAGGCTGACCTGGACAGGCTCAGCAAATGGGCGGACAAGAATCTGATGGTGTTCAACGCCGATAAATGCAAGGTTCTCCACCTTGGGAAAAAAAACCCGCAGCATCCTTATAGGCTCGACAGTGCTATGTTGGCTAGCACTATGGAAGAAAGAGACTTGGGGGTCATCATTGACCACAAGATGAACATGAGCCTGCAATGCGATGCGGCGGCTAGTAAAGCGACCAAAACGCTGGCTTGCATCCATAGATGCTTCTCAAGCAAATCCCGGGACGTCATTCTCCCCCTGTACTCGGCCTTAGTGAGGCCGCAGCTGGAGTACTGTGTCCAGTTTTGGGCTCCACAATTCAAAAAGGATGTGGAGAAGCTTGAGAGAGTCCAGAGAAGAGCCACGCGCATGATCAGAGGTCAGGGAAGCAGACCCTACGATGACAGGCTGAGAGCCCTGGGGCTCTTTAGCCTGAAAAAGCGCAGGCTCAGGGGTGATCTGATGGCCACCTACAAGTTTATCAGGGGTGACCACCAGTATCTGGGGGAACGTTTGTTCACCAGAGTGCCCCAAGGGATGACGAGGTCGAACGGTCACAAACTACTTCAAGATCGTTTCAGGCTGGACATAAGGAAGAATTTCTTTACTGTCCGAGCCCCCAAGGTCTGGAACAGCCTGCCACCGGAGGTGGTTCAAGCGCCTTCATTGAACACCTTCAAGATGAAACTGGATGCTTATCTTGCTGGGATCCTATGACCCCAGCTGACTTCCTGCCCTTTGGGCAGGGGGCTGGACTCGATGATCTTCCGAGGTCCCTTCCAGCCCTAATGTCTATGAAATCTATGAAATTTGGTTTAGAGTTTGGGGCCATAGCCCCAAGGGGACTCTACAATGGCAACATTCACCATGACCACCCGGCTCAGCTCCTGGAATGGAAGTTAGACAAATTCAAGTTAGATGCCTAAATTCTCTGTCCAATGCATGACAAGAGTCAGAAGCCTAGACTGCTGAGTACAGACAGCCGGCACAATAAGCAAGAGAATTCAGTATTTGCTTTTATCAAATTTGGCCAGAGTTCTTGTCTGAATTGTGTACCTGCAGCCCTTGAGGTTAGTATCACAAGGAAGCTGGGGATTTATGGAATGTTCCTGCTCCTGGGCTTGTGTGTCTGTCTTTTGAACATGGACGACTGACTTACTTTCCCCTAAACATGTAGGGGTGACCACCTGTTACATAGTAGCCAGAGTATTTGATGAGGAAGAAATGGGAGAACTGGGTTTTAGTCTCCCATCAAACCTTTGGTAGAATCTCTACCCACCAGGCTATAACTTAGTTTGTGATGGGGATGCAGTTAGCCACTCCTGTTAAAGCTGTGCCAGTGTAGAAATAAAAGCAACATTTACAGGGTAAAGCAAGAGAAAGTATGTTCCTATTTTGAGAGAGTCCCTAGAAAGGATATGCTGCATTCCTAAACTGCTTATGCATTTTATGTAATGCCTTTTTAATGCAATGAGTAGGTCTAAATACAAGTACCCCAAAATACTCTGTGGTTTGTTGTTTAAGGCATTCTAAGAAGTGGAAATATGGGTTTAAATCTCCTCAGGCAGAGGACTGAATTAAACCTAGGCCTGCTACATTTGGGTGAGTGTTACAACTACTAAACAAGCATTTAAATCCCTCATGTACAGCATTTTAAAAGAAAGAGGTAGCTATCGCAGCAGCCCTCAGTGCAAGACTTGTATGCACTATGTTGCTTCTACCAACAAATTCTGGGAGGGGGTGAGACTAAGAGCAAGAAAACTGTTAGAGCACATGTACACCAGTGCAGCTACTGCCAAATGTGAACAGCTCCACTTCACTGGCTGTGCTGGCAGGATGTGAAGTGCAAAGGTATTAAAGGGTCTTAGCTGGCAGAAAGTTTGGGTATGTCTATATGTGCCTTCTGTAATTTGTAAGTGATAGCAGAAGCCTCCTCTCAGTTGGAGAAATGATTCCCTGGTGTCAGGAGAGCTGTGAATGTAGCACACTCCTCAGCTCTTCCAACACCAGACTCTAGGTTAGGTTGTAATGGAGTATTGTTAGTCCTCAGCAGTTCTGGAACAGACACAGTTTCTAGGTAGTTTAGATTAGACTACCCTCTTACTCTGTAAGACAGGTGCCATACAAAGAGAGGAACATGTGCTGTTTCAACTCACCACTGCAACTCTTAAGATTAGTAATAATGCAGCTTTTCTTCAAACCTGCTACTTCATTTTCAGAAACAGCATTCATGGTAACAAGAATACCCAAAGTCTTTATAAGACTGAGGAATGATGAAAAGTCATCACTTTCTAAGAAAGGGATTTTGGCAACTGGATAAATCTTGATAATAGTGTGGGTAGGCAGAATCAACCTCATCCTTACTACATTCTGAAGATTCCTATCTGCTCCAGATCTACTACCAGATCAACTGCATCTATGACCTTGCAGAGTCATGGAGAGCTGTGTACTGAACATACTGACAAGTTTCCTCTTTATAGCAAAAATGTAGGCAAAACCTTTATTGCTGAGGTTTATTACACTAATCCTTCCTGATTGAAAGATCACCATTTCACAGCTAGGGAAGTTGGGGCACCGAGAACTACTAGTTTGTCACACATTACAGAGCAAGTCTGTGGCAGGGCTAGGAATAGAAACCAGTGAATACAGATACAGAAACACTGGGCTTGACTACATGAGAGGCTACTGCGCAGTAACCAGAGTTACTGCACAGTTGCACCAGTGAATATCTGTTAAGTGATGCTACTGCACAGTAGCCTAATAATACTGTGCAGTAGCATATTAGCACTGTCAGTGCTGTGACACGCTACTGCACAGTATTATTTGACTACTGCATGGTCAGCATCTTGTGCAGATGCGCCCACTGTTATTCAGTGGGTTGCCAAAGTCCAGACATGAAGAAGGCAACAAACATTCAAATGAGAAAAATCAGTTTATTAATACTCTCTCCAAGAGCAAATCACTGCAATGCACTGTTACAAAAATCACAGGTCTATGCATCAGGGTAGGACTTGGTAAATTGCTTGTAAAGGTCCTGATTTGCTAATTCATCTTATAAAGATTCTTAGAGAAAATGAAGCAGGAATTATATAATTGAATACAATGTTCTGTAGTTTGCTAGCAGCCATTCATAATTCAATGAATATAAAGGGTTATCCACTACTCCCAGCCCATCATCCCAAAATAAGCGTTAGAGCATTTGGAAAATGGAAGCAGAACACGTCCTACAGTGAAAAAGTCACTGTTTACATTCTGCTCGGGCTCTGTGATGTTCCACATACTACACCCCAGAGAGCATTACTGCACTGCCTGTTCCATAAACTGCAGGTACTGTCTTCGAGCAGGGAAGTGGTCAGCTGGCCGGTTGTATGGTGTCCAGATGGGCTCTCCAGCAAACAGTCTCATTGCCTTGACATAATTCTGGTGAGAGAAAACAAACTGGTACTAGCATGACAGCTCCTTTGGAAAGAAGTTAATTCAAAAGCTAAGCTTAATGGGTGCATCTACCCATGTGCTTTACCGCAGTGTTGACAATTAGCTCTGCAGTAAAGTGTCATGGTCCACACGTGCACCTGTATTAAGGTGCAGTAAGTTAATTAACTCTGCTGTTGAAGAGTACTGTCAGGGTCTGATGTGCTGAAATGCACATGTAGATGGAAATAGGCTGGATGGGGCACGAGGGTGCTAAAGTGCAAGGGCTGCCTGCCACCTAGCTCTGCACTTTAGCACCCTTGTACCTCAGCTGGCCACTCTGCTGATTGATACCATCACCCAGGACTCAGGGCTTACCCTCCGGGCCTCCTGCCAGCCTAGGGCTCCTCTGCCCCGGCTCATACTGCTGTAGTCCTGGGCATCCATGCAGACTCTGTGCCTGGGACCAGCTGACTCCAATGTAAACTGCGCTGAAGTTTATCACGTCGTTTTAATGGCATATGTAGATGCACCCAATGGTTTCTGTAAAGTTATAGTAATAATTTGCAGTCCCATAGCATCTTTCAGTGCCTATCTAGATAGTTTAATAGCCTCATGTGACCCCAATGTTTCCATTGTGCTTAAATGCTCCGGAGTGATGTTACAATGGCACTCAACAGTTGTAATGGGTCTAAATCCAGATTTCTTCCAGAGGAGACTAAATGGGATTAAGGCTAATATAGGCACCTACATTCCAAACAGCAATTCAGATTAACCCCACTTCGCAAACCACAAGACATATCAGGTATTGCAGACATATTGCATATTATTTGGCATATCCATTTTAGATCACAAGGATCCCTAGAGTCCCACCTTTTGCTAACAGACCACAGAAAGGCAGCATATAAATCAAATTGACTGCCTGAAAATTCCCTAGACACCCAGAGCTTTTGCTTCTGTGCATGCGAAGTGATCCAGTTTGATTGTCTAGGCCAGGGGTGGGCCAAATATGGCCCACAGGCCGCATTCAGCCCATCAGGCCATTCTGTCTGGCTCATGGGGCTCCTAAAAATTTAGAAAATTAATATTTATTTGCTCCTGGCAGCCTGTCAAAGATGACAGAAGTGAAGGGCAGTAGGGCCCAGGGAGAGTCCGCAGCAGGACTGAGCAGCCCAGCCCTGCCTCACCCCCAGCCATTTCCCTGCTTCCCTGCCCCCACATTGCTCTAGCACCACTTGGTTCCCAGCTGCATCGCCACCAGGGAGCAGGGGGCCACCCGGTACCATGGGCCCAGGAGCACGAGGGGGTGTGCATGTGTGTTGGCTTGAAAACAGCATTTAAAGGTCAGTTTTTTGGGGAATTGGCTTATAGGTATAGATATATGCATTATAAGGGGTCAAGATGGGTAGCAGGGGTTAATTAATTTCTAAAGAGCCGGGGTTTCACACACAGAATTCTATATAGCCCTGGAAGCAGACAGGCTGTCTCGCACGACAAGGCCAACAGATGGACACAGCCTGAGAATTTAGGGGGCATGCCATAACACCAGATCACAGCCTTCAAGGCAGACACGTTGTCTAACACAACAAGGACACATAGCCTGGGAACCAAGGAATTATGCACCATACTGTCCAATAACACGAGAGAAGTGACACCAGCAACTAGGCTTGAAAGCATCAAGGGGGCCTGAGTCCCGGTTTGGGGGCAACAGACCAAATTAGGAGAAGGCCCAAAAGGCGACTTGGATGTGTGACCACAGAGAGAGAACCAACCAGAGATAGCCACGGATGAAGAGTCATCAGGAGTCATCAAGGTGGAAGGAGAATACAAAAGCAGAGACTTGAGATTAACAAAGGGTCCCTCTCTTTGTCCCATCCCTCCCTGTTCCTTCTTGATCCTCCTTCTCTTCCTCTCTGTCCCTCCCTGTCTTGCTCCCTGAGAGGGGTCCCTATCCCCATCCCCATCCTCCAGAAAAGGTCCCCGAGGCCACCATGGACCAAGGACATACCAGCAGCCTGTCTCATGCACCCCACTGGAGGGGGGCTGTGGGCCTCAGGATCCCACCTCCAGACTGCTGACACCTAAGAGAAAGAGCCTCAGAGTGGAGCCTGCATCCTAACCAGATGTACTTTGACTCTAATGACAACCCTAGGATTGGTAGATATAGAATTGTTTGATTGTTTGTATTGTTGTTTTTTTGTTATCATTCTGTATCAATAAACTAGGCTATCATCAACTGGCAGGTGTTGTGGTCGGTCTGAGGGTTGTGCTCTTCCGGAAGAAAGGTAGAAGGGCTGGGTCCAAATCCAGTTCCAACAGAGTACATACATGTGTGTAGGCAGGGGCAGTGTGCGTGTGCGTGTAGGCAGGGGCAGTGTGTGTGTGTGTGGGTGTGTTTGTAGGGTGAGTCCCACACACATACCCCACCATACACAGGCACCCACTCCCCCACACTGCCACACACGCAGCCACCCTCCCCTCACACATATCCCCCTACAAACTCCATGCCCACCCACACCCCACATATCCACACACACATGCTCCCTCACCCACATACCTATCTACTCCCCACAACCACCCCACATACACCCACACCCTCTCCCACACCCCCACACAGCCAGAGTCCTCCACAAACCTATACCCACCCCCCCACTATATACAAGAATAAGACTTCATTTTAAGCTATTGTGCAATCACCGCTATGTGCACTACACAAACACATGTAAATCAGGACAAAAATATTTTTTGAAATCAAATTAATGGAAGTTGTAGTACATGTTTGATTTTTAGAATATAATCTGGTACGTTACTGGTTCTGAGATGGCAAAACCGCTTGCTGAAAGGAGTACGTTTGGGGGCAAGAGGAGGAACTTCTGATGGCAAAGGTCAGGGGTTAGGGGGCGGGACTTCCGGTCACAAGATGGCAGCCAAGGGGTGGGGCACCTGTCAAGGGGTGGGGCTACCCATGTGGGCCTCGACATCTTGCCAAAACTCAGTAAGGGGCCCTCTCCTGAAATAATTGCCCGCCCCTGGTCTAGGCATCTAGCTCCAATGCAGATTCCATTTCAGTCCGGATTAGTTCTGGGGTGACACCAAAGTCATCAGAGGAGCTGATAAGTATGCACAGAACATGCCCAACACCGATCCACCACAATGAGTTGTGCTCAAAAACACTCCCACTGTCACAGCCCACCTTTTGCACAAGAGCCTCGTGTTAGAACACGTGCCCAGTAAATGAGACACCTGGGATTTGGGCCCTCCTCAGCCTGAGTGGATTGAAACTCACATCTCCCAGAAGCCTGTCCTAATTGCCAAACTACTGACTAGCGAAGCAAGGCAATTTATGCATTTTAAGTTAGTCATTGAATAAATTCAGATATAATCCTGGGAGTTGAGACCTAAGGAATGCCTATGTGTAGGTGCCTCTAGGATCAAATTGGATCTCATCAATGCTACATTACAGACTTCACCACATTCTCAAAAATCCTGGGAGGCAGACAGAGCATTATCTCCTTCCTAGGTGCATTCTAGAAACACCTGCTGGATCAGGAATTGCAGGTTAGATAGAGAAACAGCTATTTTGTGGATTCAGTTGTGGCTCAGGCATGTTCAGCATCATCAAAAAATGGGAGTTTCTGAGTAATTCAGGCATCTAAGGGTGCATCTAGATGAGACGCTAGTGCACTATCATTATTGAACATTTATTTAGTACTTGCTAATACTTGTGCTTGCAAATCCAGCAGGTGTTTCTAGAATGCATCTAATGAAGGAGATAATGCTCTGCCTGCCTCCCAGGCGTCTTGAGAACGAACTTAAGTCTGTAATATACTATTGATCAGATCCAGTCTGATCCCATAGGCACTTAGTTTACACCTACACTTGTATCAGCAAGTACTAAACAAATGTGCTGTAACTGGAGTTACTGTACAGTAGCACCAGTGAACGCATTTTAGATCACGCTACTGCGCACTAGCTTAATAGGACTGCGCAGTAGCATTTTAGCACTGTCTGTGCTGTGATATGCCACTGCACAGTATTTTTTTGGCTTCTGTGCCATCAGCATCTTGTGTAGATGCACATTAAGGTTCCTAACTGATAAAAAAAATTGTGGCACCTGTGGAATTTGTGGCAGCTGAGCTGAGTTCGGAGGATGGAAAATTTAAAATTAAATCCCTAAATTGGGAGTTAAGTGGGGCAGCAGCAGTTAAGCTCTTTTGTGGCTCTGACCCACAACACCTTTGGTTTTGTCTACACTAGAACAAAGCCCAAATTGGAAGCTGGTGTAGTTCACCCAGTGTGGACATACAAAGCAGACATTTGCACCAAAGGAGCTTTTCTCCTTTTATATGCAGAGCACCACTACTACTAGCCTAACTACTGATTCAAGGATATTCTCATTCTTGGACTTTTCTCCCACCTTTGCAGGATGGAAACAGTTTCACAGACACACACAGAGAGTCTTAATCACAGGAAGATGAGAGTTCCACAGAGGCCAAGGCTGTACCCCAACCTCATATTACCATTTATATCCCAAGCCTCCTCTCAGATCAAAGATCAATGTGCAGTTCATTGCAGAGCCAGGAGGTAACACAGCTTATGTGACTATCAGGGTTGGTTTTAGTCACTGGACAATGTTCCCCTTCTTATATTTAGTTTAGGGCTCCTAAATGACACCTGCAGTAGACACAGGCATGTTCTTGCTATCCACAGAAAAGACACACGACAAAGCAGTTTAAGATCCCTTACACTGCTCTACCTTCAGCATGGATGGATCAGTCTCTGTAACTCAATCAGTTATGGTGGCACTGTGTATGATAGACAGCAGTGCAGACTGGATTTGGACCATACAGTGATTTCATGCAAGACAAAGAACAGATAGTGGATGACAAATGGCTCTCAGCCACTGCTGATGAGCTAGATCTGGATAACTGAGAAAAATTCAAGTCTCTGATTCAGTAAATCAGTTAGTATTCCTCACATTTCTGGTATAATAGTTTGATAATGAACTGCAAATCCTAATGTATTTAGTCACTAATCTGAAATATAAATGTTAACACTTGTTAAAATAGCTTTATGTCATATACGAAAATATACGACCATAAGATATAAAGGCATATACAAACATTTTCATCCAGCGTAAATCGGTGATATATGCCAGCAGGAAGAGTTATCATGTCTCCCTTTTGCATGAAAATCCGGATCCACTTGTCATCTTTGTCTCGAACATCAAAGTAACCACTTCCTTCAAGGATGTAGCGAATTTCCTCATCCAGGTGTAAATGTTCTTCATAAAATATTTTTATCTAGGTTGGAAAGAAAGAAGTTTCTTTTTTTAAATTTGCTGCAAAGATGAATAAGTTTAAGTATGACAATTCTACCAGTGCCTGTGAGATTTTTCAAAGGAGTCTAGAAAGATATAAAACACTTTCTAAAAGTATTATTGGTACACTAACTAATGCACAAAACTATGTTAACTGAACAGAAAGTCCAAACCAGGTTTACCAGGAAAGCATCCATCAGGAGCTGGATATTTATCTTGGATACACACAAAAAAGATACAGCAAGACTTCCTGCATGTTATACAGGAAAAAGTAGCTCTGCCACCTACAGTATCTAATCTTCTGGTTGGTCTTGAAAGCAATGCCAAATGGGTTGCCTGATGCAGTGCTTCATATTGCCAACAAGAGACATAACCAAGGATATTTTCTGTCACTACATGGAACTCTCTAGGCAATTTATGAGCTATAATGCTGGGCCTTTAAGGGGTTCCTATCCAACTTGTCAGGAGGTGAAAAAACCCTGCAATGAACACAGTGGGTCAGAAAAAGTGATAAATGAACAAGTTCCTCAAGGCTTCAAGACGGATATTGAATATCCCACTTAAAGCTGGAATGGCACATCAGTGTACATAGCTGATGAGGAAGGACTTTCATTCTGAAATGCTTAACTGAGAACTTGACAGTATTCATACTGATCTGTTTTAAAGCAATCAAGATATTAGTCCCCAAATTAAAGTATTTCTCATTTGGGGAACTGCAAACACCCCTCAAACTGGTCAAGTGTTCAGCACACTTCAACCTTAAAAAACAAAAACCTAACGAGGGGGGTGGGGAGGAGGGGGGTACAGTTTTTACATAGATATTCCATAAAGTACACTTAGCTCTAGGGGTGTTTCAATTTCCAAAACTGCAAAATAAGCATGCTCACACATTACTTCATATGTATGGGAGGTCACAAATCTTCAAAATGAATTTGGCAAAGTTCCAGTTCCCTCTGATGGTGATTATATTAAAATATTTTTGTCACTTAAAATCAATCACCTTGACAACCAAACAAAGAGAAGGAAGAGTAGCCTCCTATTTTTCTGGGAACACCAAGACATTACTTAAAATACTACCAGGTGGTTTGTTACTTTCAGTTAAAATTACTGCTATGTATCAGCACAGCAATGACCAAAACTAAGCTTGCTGTTATGAAGTTCACTGGGCAAAGTTTTGCCAAAATCCCCAACTGGCAATCATCTGACCTTAATTTGGATGATATTCTCACAGGGCTTACTAGTATTTGTAGGGCTTTGTACATGCCTTAGTCTCAACATGACAAATGAGAACTGCTGTTAGTATGAGAACTATACTAAAAGGCATCAGGTATAAAGCTACTAAAGGGAAAGTAACTACAACCCTCTTCTCTACCCCTGCAAAATCCTTGCTAGTTTTAACCCTGGAATCAAACCTGTCATTCTATGAAATGCAGAACATATTTTTTTAAAATAGGGGGAACATTCAATCTTTGAAGGTTGGGATCTACATGCACACTTCAAAAAACAGTGCACACTTTAATGGCAGACTTCAGAATTTATACCTTCTACAATTCAACCTACAGCAGATTTACCTTGTCTTCGTAATTTGGGAGTTTATCTTTATCTATAGTTATTATATCCATCCATGAATAGTTCCTCTCTCTCCGAATCCTTGCTAGCTCTGGGTCAGTCTCATAGTTGTCAGCATCCAACTGAGGGGCAGAAGGAAAAGAAGAAAATGAAAATATAAACATCCATAAGAGACACCCATGATCCGCACAAAGCCACCTTCAAAACCAAAGAATACCCTAATTTGTAGGCCTAGTTACTGCCTTGGCAAACGAGCCCCAGCTATGAGGCAGAGGCGGGCCCTGATTGGAGAAGAGGTCCAGCTGGAGCCCTTAGAAAGCCCTGGGAACTGAAGCATGGTGGGGATCAGATGTCAGAGAATGCAGTGGTGGATGGGTGAGGCACAGATGAGCTGCTCATGTTTGGTTGCATTCATCCAAAATGGACTGCTAGGTATCCCTGCTGCAAAGCCTGGTGTTTTCACCTACAAGGCTGGGTATGACTGAGACTTTGGCTTGACACTGAATGACTGCAGATCCCTTATGAGGGTCTGAGATTCTATGAAGTATATACAAATGGAGGTTTGAGGTGGGAGTGTAGGGGCTGGAGGAGCTCCCATTCAGACCCCTCTGGCCTCATAGCTGATCCAGAGAGCTCAGCTGTAGAAGAAACTGGTGGTGTCAGTTGCTTTTCCCTTTGAAGGTTGGACTGCTCCTAGACTAAGCATCACCTCCTGAACTGTTCCATCAAAGTCATGGCAGGTGAGACTGGGCGAGGACTGCAGCACTCTAACTGTGAGAGGGGAAAAACATACTGTGGCCACCCTATTACAGGTCACAGGCATAGGATGGAGTGATGAAATGAAGAAGTAAACAGAAGACTGCAGCTTTGGTGCCATTGCAAGGGCTTCGGCTTCTTCGACCACAGTCTGCACTTCAGAGAAAGAGGCAGCGGTTTGTTGCAAAGAGACAGCCTCCACCTCACTCCAATGGGGAAGAAGCTCTTCTCAGCCAGAATGGGTCACCTGCTTGACTGGGCTTTAAACTAAGTTTGCCAGGGGATGGGCGCACAACCACCAGTGCAAGCCCATCAAGCAATGGTCACAAAACCAACAGGTCAGGCTGCACAAGGGAATTCACTCCTACCCCAGCCCAAGGACAGGACCCTTCTAGGAGTGCAGGAAAGCCAAGAGCTTCCAATGGCAGGCTTACTTGCCTGTACACAAATGCCAGGAGCCTGGGGAACAAACAGGAGGAACTGGCCCTTCTGCTAAACAAAAATGAATACAATCTCATAGGGATAACGGGCACCTGGTGGGACTCCACCTATGACTGGACCACAGGTATAGATGGCTATACCTTGTACAGGGGGGATCGTTTTGCAAGAAAGGGCTGGGGTGTAGCTCTCTATGTGAAGGAGCTGTACACTTCCCTACAACCAGAGATGGGCACCCAAGGAGGGTGACCTGAGACCCTCTGGGTTAGAATACGGGAGGAATGTGGTGAAGGGGATATAACAGTAGGAACCTAATACAGACCTCCTCATCAGGAGGAAGAGCTTGACCATGAATTTGCTAGGGAACTGGCAGAGGCTGCACGCTCTTGGTGCATGGTTGTCATGAGCAACTTCAACTACCCTGGCATCTCATGGGAAGAGCGCTCAGCCAAATCCGATCGGTTGCGAAGCTTCCTCACTTACATTGATGAGCTCTACTTGTCTCAAGAAATCTATGAGCTGACAAGAGGTAAGGCACTGCTGGACCTGGTACTGGCCAGAGGGGATGATCTAGTGAGCAACCTGAGAATCAAAGGGAAGCTGGGAGACCGTGATCATGAGTTGATCATTTCTTCTATCCATCGCAAAGCTAGCAAATCTGTCAGCAATGCAGAAATTCTCAGCTTTAGGAAAGCCAACTTTCACAAGCTCGTGGGGCTAGTTGTCAAGGCCCTGAGAGGCCATGATCTGACAGGGAGGGGAGTCCACAGTGAGTGGTTGCTGTTTAAGGATGCAGTTCTTGAAGCACAAGGGAAGTCCATTCCAACCCATAAGAAAGGGAGGAAAAGGGCTGGGCGACCCCCTTGGTTCAACAGGGAACTCATGGACCTCCTGCACCTGAAAAGAGAAGTTTATCAAGGATGGAAGGCAGGAAACACCGCTAAGGAAGAGTATTCAGCACTGGCCCGCACTGGTAGGGAGTGAACTATGAAAGCCAAGGCTGAAATTGAACTCAAACTGGCTACAGGAATCGAGAACAACAAAAAGTCCTTCTTCAGTTATGTGGGTAGTCAGATAAAACAAGGGCAACACTGGACTCTTGCTAAACCAAATGGGGCAGCTGACAACCAACATGCAGGAAAAAGCTAATCTCCTTAACGATTACTTCGTCAATCTTCCACCAGCCCAAGGGGATCACCCTGCAAGATGCAGGATTACCAGGGTAAAGGCAAACACATGCCCATCATTGGCAAAGATCTTGTGAGGGATCACCTTGAAAGGCTGGACATCCACAAGTCAGCTGGCCAGGATGGAATGCACCCAAGAGTGCAAAGGAACTGGCTGACATCATTGCATGGCCAATGGCAAGGATATTTGAGAGCTCATGGTGCTCAGATGTTCCTGAAGATTTGAAAGAGGGCCAATGTGGTGCCTATCTTCAAGGAAGAAAGGAAAGAAGACCCAGGGAACTACAGGCCAATCAATTTGACCTCAATCCCTTGAAAGATCCTGGAAAAAATCATCAAGGAAACCATTAACAACAGGCTAACAGAAGAAACAGTCCGTGAGATAGCCAACGTGAGTTTGTTGCGAGTAGGTCTTGCCTGACCAACCTCACTTTCTTCTGTGACCAGGTGACATGTCACCTGGACAAAGGAGAAGAGGTTGATATCATATATTTGGATTTCAAAAAAGCCTTTGACCTGGTATTACATGATGTATGTCCTTATGGTAAAATTGGGAAACTGTGGCCCCAACTACTCCACAGTCTGATGGCTGGGGACCTGGCTCCGAGGTCAGACTCAGAGAGTAATAGTCTATCGAATCAAATCAACGTGGTGCATGGTGACCAGTGGCATCCCCCAGGGCTGCGTATGCAGACCTTTACTCTTTAATATATTTATAAGTGATCTGGACTCAGATGAAGTGTGGCCAGGGCAGCACGAAGCTTCCAGCGGCAGACAGCTTTCGTGCATGGCCCTGCTGTACCCTGCCGTGCCAGTTGCACATACTGAGCTCTGGAGAGCCTGAGAAAATTGGCAATCCATGGTTTTCCATGGGAATTGGAAAACCAGGATCCCTGCATGTCCCAGGGATCCTGGTTTTCCGTTTCCCTTGTGGTCCCAGGGATCCTGGTTTTCCATTTCCCACAGAAAAACAGAGAAAACCATGGATTTCCCATTTTTATCAGAGAAAACACAGAGTGCTCGGCTGGCTGGAAACCCTCAGTGCTCCCAGCCACCTGCAAACCTCCCCGCTCTCTCAGCCCCCAGCCAGCTTCTGATATATGCCAGCAGGAAGCATTATCATGTCTCCCTTTTCCATGAAAATCCAGATCCATTGGTCATCTTTGTCTTGTGGAAGAAGAAAACCCCAGGCCTTAATCTCTGCTGACTTCTTGAGTTAGTGCATTATCTGCTAATGATTGCTTTTTCCCCTATTTTGCAATCTGCTCTTTCTCCCGCCCTTTTCCCCTTGTTGAGCTGAGTAGACCTATAAGGTCAATAGGTCAAATCACAGTCTATGCCCTCTTGCAACTTTCTGGTTCAAATCCGTTTTTCTTTGACTTGTTATATCTTGTGTCATGTGACCTGAATTGAAACATAAAAGGCTTGCTTCAATTGTCTGTTGGGGGGAGGCATGCGGGACTGATAAGAGGAAGTTCTGTCTGTCCGGTGCTCTCCCCAGCAGCTGCTTGTAAATAAAGGTCTCCGACAACTTCGTGACCAAACAATAGAGTGAAGCCTGTTTCTTCCACAGTCTCGAATGTCAAAGTAGCTGCTTCTGTTGAGGATGTTATTGATTTTGATCATACCGGTGTAAAAGTTCCTTGTAAAATATTTTTATCTAGGTTATCTAGGTTAGAAAGAAAGAAGTTTCTTTTTTTTAATTTGTTGCCAGCAGAAATAAGTCTAAGTATGACAATTCTACCAGTGCCTGTGAGACTTTTCAAAGGAGTCCAGGAAGATACAAAACACTTTTAAAAAGTATTATTGGTACACTAACTAATGCACTAAACTATGTTAACTGAACAGACGGACCAAGTCAGGTTTAGCACTCCGGCCAGGATGGGGGTTGTAGCCAGCCGAGCACTCTGGCCGGGAGCAGGCAGGCTGCAAACCCCCTCCCAGCCCAGCCAGCTGCAAACCCTGTGTCACAAACGCTGTGCTCCCTGCCCTGCTGCCCTCCCCCAGGCTCTCCAGAGCTCAGTGTGTGCGACTGGCACAGCGGGGCCATGCACGAAAGCTGCCTGCTGCTATAAGCTCCGTGCTGCCCTGGCTACACTTCCTCTGTGTGCACAGGGGCAGTGCACATCCACCTTGTCCCCACCACCCACACAGATCTGGGGACATGGGTCTCCCCTACCCCTCCGGAGTGCACACTGCCACTGGGAGCTGGCCCCGCCTGAGCCTGCAGCAGGCAGCAGCAGGGGGGCAGCCCGCTCGTGCTCCTGCTGTAGCAGCAACCGCTGCCTTCCACTGGGGCAGGGGGCTGCGGACCTGGGTCCCTGGCTCTATAGCCCTGGCAGCTGGGGGGCAGGGGCTGTGGGGGTGGAGTCAGCGACAGCAGCAGGGCTGTGGGGGGCATTTAATTTTAACCACGGCTTTTGGGATTTTTATCAAGAGAATTTACAATTTTTTTATCAGAGAATGTGTGATTTCTTATCACAGAAAACCAGGATCTCTTACATGAGCCACCAGTGCGATGCCACAGTTGGCAAAGGAAACAAAACTCTGGCTTGCATCTACTAATGCATCTCAAGCAAGACCCAGGAAGTCATCCTCCCACTTTACTCGGCTTTGGTGAGGCTGCAGCTGGAGTACTGCATCCAATTCTGGGCTCTACAATTTAGAAACGATGTGGAGAAGCTTGAAAGAGACCAGAGGAGAGCCACGCGCATGATTAGAAGACAAGAGAGAAGGCCTTACAAGGAGAGGCTGAGAGCCATGGGACTCTTCAGCCTGGAGAAGGGAAGGCTCAGGGGTGACTTGGCGGCAGCCTGCAAGTATATAAGGGGTGTGAACTAGAAACTGGGAGAACGTCTGTTCACCAGGGCACCCCAAGGGAAGACAAGGTGCAATGGTCACAAACTGCTGGAAGACTGTTTTAAGCTGGACATAAGGAAAATCTTCTTTACTGTCCAAGTCCCTAGGGCCTGGAACAGATTCCCCCCAGAAGTGGTGCATGCATCTACTCTGGTCACTTTCAAAAAACACTTGGATGCCCATCTTGCTGGGATCATTTGATTAAAAATCCCAAAATCCGTGGTGAAAATTAAATGCCCCCCACAGCCCTGCTGCTGTCGCTGACTCCACCCCCACAGCCCCTGCCCCCCAGCTGCCAGGGCTATAGAGCCAGGGACCCAGGTCCGCAGCCCCCGGCCCCAGTGGAAGGGCGCAGTTGGGCA